AAGAAAATGACTGACGCTACTGGGAAACTATCGGGGGGGGGGAGATGGGATTAACAGTAGCAAATATCTGTCTGGAGATGGGGAAACACCTCTTATCAACAGGGTGCCTGAATGAAACGTAATTGTACACCTAACACTTAACTGTACCCCACAAAACCATAATAAAAAATATTGATTATGAAAAAAAAAAAAAAGAAATAAAGTCTCCTTTCGTTTTCCAAATGTATGGTTACTGTGTGTGTGTGTGTGTGTGTGTGTGTGTGTGTGTGTGTGTGTGTTTTAAAGTTAACAGTTCCAAACACAATCAATTTTTTCCTCTTCATTTTCTGATACCAAAAATAGTCAATTCTTAACAACTCTTGCCGAGGGAAAACAAAAATGTGATACATAGAAACAAAGAATCAGAAAGCATATGAGCATACCTGTACTACAAGGTGCTATCCAGCAGCACAGTGACGTGTAGGGTTCTTTGCCACTCTCCCCTGAGGATGAGGGTCTCACGTGTAACTGGTAGATGTTTGTTTTTTTGCTTGTGGGTTTTTTTTTTTAATAACTTTTGCTATAGTAACCTTTTATACCTATCTTTAATGCACATGTATGTGGTATTTTGAGAATTCCAAACACTTCAAACAAAAGGATAAAATGCTGGATCTCTCTCTCCTCATAGGCAGATTCAAGTGCACATGATCTATAAGAGAAAAGCCCCCTAGCGCTGCGAAGACAGATTGCTCCATCTTTAGAGCACCTCCCTCAAAGTCACACATTACTCTCCTGCATGTGTCCCCCAAATCCATGACAAACAATGGCCAGACAAAACTTAATAAATGTGACCCAGCAAGTGAACCATTGGCCAGAGGATCCATAAACAAGGGTTTGAAAGCCTGTACGCCCGAAACTACCACAAAAAGTACGTTGGGAAGGCCTGGCTTCCTGACACAGAAACAAATTTAGCATGCCACAGTGCAAGCTAGTGCCCGCACCCCTCCTTGCGGCATGGCGTGCTCCCAGGCCAGCTGGGCCCACCCTCTTGCTCCAGTGTACAGAGCACAAACATCCTGAACTATGCACCATGGATTCCCCAGTTCCCAAATGCGTGTACAGCTTACATTTTACTCCACAGAATGCAAGGAAGTATAACTGGATGTGTAACAACAGGAGTCCACAACACGACACAATCAATATCACTTCCCTAGATGGTTTTAAATGGCAGCTAGACTTCCCAGTTAAGTAATCAAAGGTGCTGAAACCAAACATCCCAATTCTGTCAAGGGTGCTGGGCATTCAGATCAATAATACCACAAAACACCATCCCAATTAGCTTGTTCTAATATTTGGGTGTTTTATTTTGTTGGGAACATCTTGGCAGATACATCTGGGTTAAAATACTGTTTAAAAGCAAAGGTTTGAGGGCAACAGGTATAGGGCTTATGACTCTTTTTCCCCCCCATTTCCTAAAATGTGGTCACTTCATCAATGCTTTACATTACAACATGAATTGTGTGGCTTCACAAAACACACTTGTGGAATAAGCCCCAGCTCCAGTCCAAAATGCATCTTTTCTAGATTACCTCCACTTAGAAATAAGCCAGCACTCCAATCAAGTAAAAACACATCAGACTGAATGACAGGTTTATGGAATACCTAAAACATATGTTCTTTCTAAATCAACAACATAGGACAATTATCATTCAGATTTGCTGATAACATGATAACATGCCTAGAAATCACAGGGTCAGCTAAGATTCTCTCTTGTGAAACTTCACTACCTGACAGTACTAGACATAGTCTGACATTTCACCTAGTTATTGACTAACAACTTTAAAAGAGACCTTGCAAAGCATTTAACCTAATATAGACTACCTTAATATTAAATTTAAAATGAAAAGTTAATGTTTTATTCTATGGCTCTCATTAGATCCCTAGTTGCTAATGCTTAAGTTTATTTAGTACATATATTACAAGCTAGAAATAATAATATAAGAATCAAAGACAAGTATTTCCAAAAAAACACACCCATCACCATCTTAGAATTATAAAGATTATTAAAAGCTAACCATCAGAATTATACCTACCTATGGGTTTTCATGTGTTTTTTGCAGTTTAGTGAGGTCTTAAATGTTTTTTGGCAGTAGGGACACATATAGGGCCGAAGGTCATTGTGTATACCCATATGTCTCCGTAAGCTGCCACCTGTCGTGAAAGCTCCATTACATATCAGACACTTGAAAGATTTTAGGCCAGTGTGTGTTCGGACGTGCGCTTTGAGCACTCCTGCAGAAACAAAGCCTCTTCCACACTGAGAACATTTAAAAGGTTTTTCACCTGTGTGTGACCTAAAAAACAAAATACAATTGTAATGAATAAGTTTCCTACACTTGTATAATGCTCTATAACTAGCATGCATGCGTGTATATTATTTTGCTTCATCTTTACTTTTTTTTTAGCTAAGCAGCAGAGACATAGCTCTCCACCTTTTACAAGTGAGGACACCTGAGACGAGTGGTTACACGATTCACCTACAGTCACACAGCTACCACACAACTGAGACAAAACTAGAGCCCAAGTTGTCTTCTAAGTTTTTCACATATTTCATGTCATCACACTGTTTCTCATGATCAAGTTTCTACTTTGTTTTCACTGTTGCAAGCGTCAAGAATTAATCTAAACTCTGATGAATGCACCTGAAAAACATAATTCTAATGAAATAAACCAAATTTTTTTGGATAACTCCTGGAAATTGCAAATATTGAAATTTAACAGGCATATAAATAAAATTCAGTGGCAATTTCTGGGTAAAATAATTTAGTCAAGTCACGAAGGAATACCAATAACAATTACCAATAGATTTTTTGGGGTCAAATGTGACATTTTAAGTGCTGAAAGCTATCACTACCTGAAAGGACAGAGCAAGAGCTGAAAGCCATTTTTCATCTTGTTCTTAAACCCTGACACAATGATGAGAAAGTAGAAGCTAAGCTTTTGGAGAAATGCACACTTTAGGTAAAATTAACTTTGCTGACTTTGTCTTTTCAGAAACAGACTTCCTGGTGCCAGGTATCAGAGGTAGCTCATAGCGGCAATCAAGCTTGCCTAGAGTAAAGGGAATTTACAAAGCCTAGGACATCATGCATTAGGCAAGGATTGTAAAAGTCATGAAACTTGTAATTACAAAAGTTGTAACCGCTCAGAGGGAGAGCAGGTGGGGATTCAATCTTCCAGTAAATTGGGCACTATCTACAGGGAAGCCAAGGATCCCCCGAAGCTATCCACTGGGAATACCTAGGAGATAAGGGGAGGTGCACCATCCATTAGCTCTAAGGAATGTCATTTGGGAAGGTGCAGGAGAATTAGAATCCTTGTCACGCCCTTCTCTAGGGGCCATGATAATGTGGGCAGACATTAGTGGGTCTCTGTGTCACAGGTTCTCCAAGACATCCACAGGTGGTCGATAAGAAAGTCACGTCAGTCATGTCTACCTGATTGCAACATCTCCAAGGAAAAGGATTTAAGCCAGGGTTTTGGGGGGCTATACCATCACACTCACCTAGAGTGTGGGCCCGCTCCCTGTCTGTGGAGGGCAAACTTTTCTTAAATAAATCTTTTCTTCTCTCATCTCTTTGTGTTGCAATTCTTTGCATTTACTCAGATCTCTGGGTTGCCAGCGTGCAGCTCCGGCTTGCCGGCTCCCACAGTGCTGCGCTTCCCTGCACCTCTCCCTCTCCATCCATCTCACCCTCACCCTGTCCGGACCCTAACACTATCATCCTAAATACTTATAGAAGTCACCAGATCAGTAAATCATGGTAATTATTTGAAATTTTCATCTCTGAATCTATGTCATCTTACCTGATGTGTTGTTTAAGGTGGCAAGATTTTTTATATGCACGATGACAGTAAAAACACTTGTATGGTCTATCTGCTTCATTTACAAAATTGTTATTAAAATAATTTTGGAAAAGCTGATTTCTTGGAATGGGCTGGATAAGACCTACAAACCAAAAGAAAAGCAGAAATAACTCAGTCAATGCTACTAATAAAATCAAATGTCATAAAGCATCTGCTTTACCCAGAAAATGAAAATTCTGATGAGTTAAAAAACACACTGCAATGTTGCAAATGTTATTTTAATTGTGTTAGGAACTGGCTACTTAAAGAATACCTATGAGAAAGTATTTATAAATGAATAGCTATTTTTTCAACATGAAAAATATCTACATTGTCACAATTACTTTCCTTGAGTTTACAGTCAATTTTTAATAAATTTCTACATTTAGTTTCTATAGAATTTATAAAACTATGTCCAAATTTTAGGTTAATCGGGATTTTAAATCCCTTGTTTATTCAGTGTGAATATGGCACACTAGGCACTATAATAAACTCAAAATATAAATGATTCTACCATGATCTTTTGTTCTAAAAAAGTCAACATCTTCCCAAATATTTTACTAAAGGGACATCTGCAAATAGTAAAATTACCGACTTAAACATTTCAGGTTTCACATACATTTACTAAATAAAGAATTCCCTTAAGTTAACCATCTAGTAAATATGACTTGATCCAGTGACTGCATTATGTATGCAATTCAGAACAAACTTTGAGGTTTTTAAACTCCTTAAGAGTCACCTGGGACACTAAGAGGAAGATGCTCCCCCTCAATTCTGTACCCATTTTGGGCTGCTCTTCCTCTCTCCCAGTCAAGAAGGCGTCTCCCTAGATTTTGTCCTCTGTTCACAACTCCATTCCAATCCTCTCCCCTCCCTTAGCTGTCCACTAACTTCTATGCTGTGATTATCACTAGACACCTCTTAACACACTCTATTTTTGCTGACTTTTCCCAAAAATCCAGATTCTGTTTTAATTCTTTTCTCTAAAACCTACCTTTTCTCCCAACTTTCCTAGCTGTACACATGAAATAACATTTTCCCTGTCCACCAGGCCAAGGATCTTAGAATCTCTAAGACCTGACTTCCCTGTCTTGTTACATTCATCAGTTTCTAGTTCTGGAGATCGTTCTTCTCCAATGTCTCTTGAACTTGCTTTTTCCTTTCTATTTTCACTGCCACCAATCTCAAATAATGGAGACTAACAGGGCTGGAGAAAAGTCAACAGCTCAGCTAATTCTCATTGCTCATTATTAGACTTAAGGAAACTAGCCTATTCTTCTTGATGCTTGCACCACAACTTTAATTACTTTACAAAGAGAATTCAGAACCCTCCCTTGTGAGTTGTATGCAGTCTACACAACATAAGTCCTACACTGCCACACCAGCTCCCATCTCACCAGTTTTGACTATCAGAGTCATGTCAGTTCCATATGAAGACACACTCCCACACCATCCTGTTTGACAACACAGTCTCACTTTTTCCTAGCAATCCCTCTCTCCTGCTCAAGAGAGAAAAATGCAATTATCGGGTCCACTGCCACCACTTTCCCCAGGATGGATGCACATACTGAGAAAGATGCAGACTGAATGACATACTTGGTTCTCAAAAACACTAATGGCAGAGCAAGGGCGGATTCCTTGCACACTAGACTCCTGGCTCTCTCATCTACACTGTTCTATGCCAAGGACTCATCCAGACTAGCCACCTATCACTGAGTCTTATATCACTGACAGAAGAACATTTGTACTAGAGAAAGCTACGATCCTAACAGTAATTTACTCAAATACCATCAATCATTTATTGTCAAGTATTCAGTTACTACCACTGCTCAGCTTGGTGTTCCAACAGTGGGTCTATCTATCCACCACCCACCCATCTCTCAGCTCTATTCCATTCCTCTGTGGCTTTATGTTCACACAAACCCCCACTTTCCCACCTCTTCACTTGTACTTATTTCTGTTTTAGCACAAGTCACTGCTCCTGATTACTGACATAGTCCTGAACCCACAAATATCTGTCAATTAAGAGGACACATAAATATGACCAAATAAATGGATCCCTGACCTCTAGGAAATTAGAGAATGAAAGAAAGAACGCACAAATTCAAACCAAAGTTGTAGATTTATGGTCTTATGGTCCACATCTGTTGGATACCCATATGTTAGGGAACCATGATAGCTTATAGGAAGAGTTAGTTACCCAGGAAGGAAAACAGAAAACTAATGAGTATTCTCAAAAATGACAACTAAAAAGTGTAATGCCTTTGGTCACTACTAAGCTCATAAAAGTGTATAATTCAGTCAGGTGTATGACTCACACCTATAATCCTAGCACTTTGGGAGGCTGAGGTGCGAGAATTGCCTGAGCCCACAGGTTCAAGACCAGCCTGGGCGAGACCTCATCTATACAATAAATTAAAAAATCAGCCAGGAATGGTGGCTCACGCCTGTAGTTCCAGCTACTTGGAAGGCTAAAGCGGAAGGATTGCCTGAGCCCAGCAGGTAGAGGCTGCAGTGGCCGTGAGTGTGCCACTGCACTCCAGCCTGGGTGAAAGAGTGAGATTCTGACTCAAAAAGAACGCAAACAACTTTATAATTCAAATGTTCAACTCAGAGGGTCATAACAGCAACTACTAGGCACAATCATTTGGAATATGAAATTTTATACAGATAGGTTCAATAACTGACAGCATTAAGGTACCACTTAATTAAAATTATAAACTTCAAATAATATCTGATAAGCCACTTTCCTTGTTGTTCCTTGTTGAACTTAATGGAATGAATGGCTTCTTAAATAAACAAAACAAAACTTAGATAACTTATGTACTTATGAAGGCTAATTTAAAAAGAGAAAAAAGTTAAAAATTAGAAATTTTTAAAAACTCTCCTCCCATCACTAGAATGAATTTTATAATATGCAAATATGAAAAATTTATTTTATTAAAGAAAAATATCTCAAACATTTATGCTAAGTAAAATGAAAAAAAGGTAAAATTATGTGTGTGTATATATAGTCATATATTTTTAAAATGGTTAAAAACATCCATGTATATATATATGTATTATATATGATAATCCAGAAGAAGCTCCAGATCCTAATGTGATCACCCTGACTCCACTACTTCGCCAGTCTGCACATTACTTACATTACTAACACATATTATATTATCTACACATAGTTATATAAGTATATAGTTATATATATTCTTCAGTCTGCACATTTACTCATAAATTTAACTCAATTCCTGAATTCAAAGAAAGAAAATCTAAAGTATAACAGAGACTGTCTAATGAAATATAATTCCTACAATGCCATAAAATATATAATATTCATGTTTCATAAAGAATAATACTTTACACCAAAACATAATTACTATCTGACAATCATGGTGTGCTCTTCCATACTTCTGTGTTGGCAGGACAGTGGGAGTGGATGTGGAAAGAAGTGAGCATTAAATGAAACACAACCCTAATCTACAAGTCAGAAGATCCAGGTACTAGATCCACCATGAGCACACACCAGCCGTATGACCCACAAGCAAAAGCCATCAACTATCTCTACACCCCAGTTTCTACATTTGTAAAAATGAAGAATAGGAAATGTAGGGAAGTTTTGGAAGAGAAAATTTTAAGTTCCCATGAAGCTCTGAAAGTTTCTTAAAATACATGACCATAAGGTACTATACCATCCAAAGGTGCTTCCTTAATCATCAGAGATTGAATTACTTGGTCTGGAATTTTTAATGCATTATAATACTTTTTAAATGACAGTCGTTATGGAGAACATATTGTGTTTTAAGTAACCAGACTGAACTGGAATATTTCATCTCTCAATTAAATCAAATAACTGTAACTATTCTATGCTAAAACTCCTTCTTATCATGTTTTTATGAAGATCTGTGCCCTAAAGGCTATTACAGCTACGTCTTTTCTATAATCCCCAAGGAGCTCAGAGTCGGAGAAAAAAAATGAACACAAATATAAATAACTATGAAATTAAGGACGATAAGAAACACAATTCTACATTACACGGTGTGAAGCTACCCTAGGAATCATTTTTTTCTGGTATAGGTCTCAGTCAGCCTAGACCAAAAGAGAATTCAACTTCTACTATCTGATCTAAGACACAGGCTTCCATGAAGCCAATAAGCAAAATGTACCCCATTTTAACCCAGAAGAAGTTCTGGAAAATCTGAATTCTAATTTAATTCAACTAAAGATTTACAAACCTGAAGTCAAAAAGCCCATGGGTGACTCATTTGATTTATCGTAATGTGAAAAAAGGGACTATTCTGTTGTCTTGTTTTGTGAGCTACCAAAACTAGACAAAGATATCAAAATATTCTAACCTACCATAGAAGTTTTGATTAACACATAATTATGATAAAACATTTTCTATGGTCTAAAACAATTAAATACCATGATAATTATGGTTTCTACAAAGCTGAGTAGAACTCATACATAAACTCATGAGAGACTGAAATTTTGGAGAGGAGAATCTTTTACTACCTTGTCAATGTATTGTGTGCTTTGGGGTTTCTATTTCTTCTACAGTCAATTCTAGTAGGAACACTATTCTAGAAAAGATCTATTTCATCAAAATTTTCAAGTGTATTAGCAAAAAGTTGTAGAGTATTTTCAAAAAATTGTCATCTCATTTATATCAGTGCTTATAGCTACTTTCTCATTCCTAATATTGTTTTCTCATTTTTTCTTTAGTCTGTTAGTGACAAGTCATCTGCCTTGGTGCTCAGTTAAAAATAAGTCTTGTAAAATTAGAATTTTATCTCCTATCTTCCTTTATATGTATGAATTCCTTTCTGCTACTTTCTTTCCATTTTTCTAGCTTTTTGAGTTAAATATTTATTTTCATTTCTTATTTTGTTCACAAAGTACTCAAAAGTCTTAATTTTTCCTAGACAGCTTTGGTCTATCCAATCCGTTTATATAATGCTCCCACTTGTAGTATACATGCGATGTCAATTTTGAGTGCTACTTTTCCATATAGTTAAATTTTGGATACCTATTTGTTATAAATTTGTTTAAAATAAACTATTATTTAAAGATTGTATCCTATACAGTATCAATTTCTGAGAATTTGTTGACACTTTTCTATACCCTAGAATGTGATCAACTTCTGTTTCATGGATTTTGAAAGAGTATATATTTTAAAGTAAAAGAGTCTATAAAGCTACAAAACAACCCTTTTTATGTGTGCGCTCAAATCTTCAGTTTTACTGTGCTAAATTAAAGATCTTTCACTATACTTGAGAATTTGAATATTTCTCCTTTCTGTTAATTGTTTTAGGTTTACATATTAGATGTTACACTCTTAGTACATAAAGGGTTATGACAGTTGATCATCTTATTGGTGGCTTATAATTTATAAAAATCTAAAATATTTCTCTGTATACCATTTAATCTTTATTTATATTGACATATTCTTATATTAACTTGGCTTACAGAATGTGTTATCTTGCCTAGAAAAATGATGAAATACAGAAGCAAACTCACATATAGAATTCAGTAAGTGCTATGGTCTAGATGTTTGTGTCCCCCTCAAATTCCTATGTGGAAGCTGAGCATGGTGGCTCACGCCTATAATCGTAGCACTTTGGGAGGCAGAGGCAAGGGGATTGCCTAAGTCCAGGGTTTCAAGATCAGTCTGGGCAACTTGGTGAGACCTCATCTCTACAATAAACCAAAAATCAGCTGGGCATGATGGCACATGCCTGCAATTTCAGCTATTTGGAAGGTTGAGACAGAAGGATTGCCTGAGTTCAGTAGGTCAAGGTGGTGGTAGCCATTAGCGTGCCACTGTATTCCAGCCTGGGTAACAGAGTGAGATTCTGAGTCAAAAAAAAAAAAAAAAATTCTATGTGGAAACTTAGCTCCCAATGTGACAGCAATGAGAAATAGGATTTTTAGGAGGTGATTAGGTCATGAGAGCTAATGGATTTAATGCCCTTATCATCCAGAAAGCTGCCTTGCCCCTTCCTTTTGCCATGTGAGGACACAGTCAGATGGCACCATCTATGAGGAAGAGAACTTTCACCAGGCACTACATCTGCCAGCACTTTGATCTTGGACTTTCCAGGCTCCAGAACTGCGAGAAATAAATTACTAAAAATAAAAGAAATAATTTATAAGCTACCCAGTTTATAGTATTTTTGCTATAGTAATTCAAATGACTAAGACAATGCAGTTTCTTAAATTTCGTTCTAGTATTTACAAAAATCATTTTTTCTGAAGATTCTAGCAAACAGTGTTTTATCCCAAGCTAGTTAACAAAATCATGGTTTGGCTTGATTATAATAACACTGAGCCTAAAATGAACTTAAAGCAGGTTTTTCTTTTCCTTTTTAATACAAAGCAGCCCAGACAATAATCTGCCACACACAGCATGGGAACTTAAAGATGAAAACAACAACATGCACTGTGTGTATCACATAAAAATCACTTGTCACCTCTGATAGCTCCACTGAGGCAGGAAAGTTTCTTCAATGAGGTCTTATATACTACCATCTTCACTTACACAATATTTCTCTCTGAACCAAGAACCCCATTTAAATAGGAGTTTAGACACAACTAGGATTTTAACCTTGATTGTGGAGCATACTTGCCCATAAAACAAAACAAGGCTTAACAATGACTTCATTAATACATGCTTAAAATTATTTAACTACACAAACCATAATATACACATACAAGTCACAAGAAACTGAAGAAAAGCATATTCAATAAATTACAAAGACATCATACAATCCATCTTACCTAAGTCAGTTATAAGAATTGGTTCTTGTAAAGGAATATCAGGGACTGGAACGTTTGTCTTGCCAACACGAACCTTTGCAGGTTTACGCTGGTGCCTCATCTTCCTTAATTCCGTATGTTTAAAATGGGAAGCAATGTGAGTCTTCCTATGGCCTGATGTTCGAAATTTTTTGTCACAGTGAGGACAAGCAAAAGGTCTAACTCCTAATAAAAACAAAGCACATTTTAGAATTATATCAAGAAGTTATGTTTCAATAGCAAATGCAACTAAAATGTTAGTATCCCAATATTGATATGAATATGCAACTTGTTATTCCATGCTTATCGCTTCATGGATATTACAAACTAGAGTAATTTTCCCTTGTTTATATACAGTGCAAGACATGTAATAAGAACATTTTGAGTAAAAATAAATATTTATTACCTTTAAAACAAAGCCTTAAATTGTAAAATATGGACATTCAAACAACCAGTAGTCCTGAAGAATCCTAAAGTGTGTAAAAGTACCCTCTCTGAAATTGTCATCTGTAAACTGGCCGAACAACACCTGCCACCAGAGTCGTTGCTGGGATTATATACACTAATGTTTAAACAGCAATTAGCAGTGTCTCATGTTTTGTTTTGGTTTTTTTTGAGTTGGAGTCTCACTCTGTCGCCCAGACTGGAGTGCAGTGGCCGCTCCCGGTCACCGCAGCCTTGACCTGCTGGGCTCCAGCGATCCTTCCGCCTCAGCCTTCCGAGTAGCCGGAATTATAGGCATGCGTTACTACGCCCAGCTGATTTTTTGATTTACTGTAGAGATGAGGTCTTGCTGCCCAGGCGGGTCTCGAACCCACAGGCTCAGGCAATCCACTCACCTCAGCCTCCCAAAGGCGCAGGATTGCAGGCTGAGCCACCGAGCCCGGCTTGTCTCACATTTTGTAAACAAGCAGTAAACAGTAGTCGTTATTTATTGTAAAAGATGATGATGATGATAGTACTAATATCCTCTTAGTAATCCTCTACTACAGTGTCGCATTTCTGAAGGATATTTTCTTCTTTTACAATTTTCTTAGCCAATAAAAATGGAAATGCCAAAGACAGACATACAACGAAATCAACTAATTTCAGCTTTTTCAAATACTCAACCACATGGTTAACCCAGTCAGGGAACCCTGTGGGAATATGGGGAGATAACTACTTTTGAGCACATGGTTTCATCTTGGGGTGATAAAAAGATTCGAAAATCACGTAGTAGGTGTGGGTTGCACAATCTAGAACTGTGCACAATAAGAGCATTGATTTTATGACATGTGAATTATATATCAAAATAAAGCTGTTATTTTTAAAAATGTGGAGCCCAAACATGAAAGATTTCATTCCTTAATACTGATTAGAGAAGTATCTGAATGGTAGAGTAGACATTAAAGTGTCACTTCCTGCTAAAGACCTCAGTACAAATGGGTTCCTTGTCGGAAGAATGCCATGTCCTCTCCATGCCCCAGCTAAACCCCACAGATGTTAGCTGGTGGTTGATTATGTGTCCCCTCCTTAGAAAGGCTCACTTTCTAAATCTAAAGCCAAATCTCCCCCGACAATTAGACTCTCTTCACCCTTTGTAATTAAACGTTCACTTTTAAACATCACTTAATGATGCCTCCCTCATCATCACATCCTTAGCTCCAAAAAGATCAAGGTCACACCTTTTTTCTTCACCCATAGATAATGCAGGCCTAGTCTACAGAAGGTAATCAATAAATACTGATGGAAAGAAAGAGAAAGGCATCCTCCAAGAACTCATCAGCTCTGTGTACAGGACCTGACCCCTTCAGGAGTACCTGTATGCAGGCGGATGTGCACCTTGAGGCTCCCGGAGGTAGAGAAACTCTTCATGCAGTACTGGCACTTGAATGCCTTGATGCCGGTGTGTGTCTTGATGTGCGCTGTCAGTGTGCTCTTCACCGCAAAGGCCCGGAAGCACTGTGGGCACTTGAAGGGCTTCTCATGCGTGTGAATGCGGATGTGGCGTACCAGGTCACTGGGCTTGCGAAACTCCTTGGCACAGTAGGGACACACATGCCATCGCACGCCGTTCTCCTCACGGATGGAACCTGTGGATGGAGAGGACATGTGTCGCTGGGCTCTGGCATGTTCAGGGAGGGGCTGGACACACAGCAACCCTGTGCAATACTGTACACATGCATTTTGCCATGGAAAATAAATGATCGATTATGGAAAAAGTTGAGATTTCTATGATCCCTGAAATGACTGGGGACTATGACTTAATCTTACAGAAATACCTAGCCATCCAGGAAACACACGTCATGGCCTCTAACAACCAAGTGTGCCAAGTCTTGTCAGGTCAGAGTCAGAATAAGAATAAAAACAGCCTTGGGAGGCTGAGGTGAGTGGATTGCCTGAGCCTGCGGGTTCGAGACCCGCCTGGGCAGCGAGACCTCCTCTCTACAATAAATCAAAAAATCGGCCGGGCATGGTAGCACATGCCTGTAATTCCGGCTACTCGGAAGGCTGAGGTGGAAGGATTGCTGGAGCCCAGCAGGTCAAGGCTGCGGTGGCCGGGAGCGGCCACTGCACTCCAGTCTGGGTGACAGAGCGAGACTCCAATTCAAAAAAAAGAATAAAAACAGATGCGATCAGATGTCTCCATACTTCACTCCAAGAACACCAAGAGAAGGAATGGTAGTTGGGATGAGTATTTATTGAGCTTATCTGACATCACAAATAAAAACTAATACAAATGCAAATAATTAGGAAGTGGTAGGTTCATAAGCTAGAAAAGGGAATTTATAGTTAAAACAAAGAAATTGTATAAAGGAACTCATGATCAAATATAAAAGATTCTGTCTTTTGTAACTCTAAATATTATTATTATTTGAGAAAGCAGGATTTATTGAGAGGACAGAAAAGCTCCTACAGTGGGAGGGGACCCAAAGGGATTGCCGAACTCTAAATACTAATATTCAACTTTTATTCAAGCTTAAAACTATTACTACCAGAAGATAAGTCACAAATAAGATGTATAGAAACACATTTTCAGCGGGGCATATGTTCCTCCAAGACCCCAGTGGATGCCTGAAAGCCCTGGAATCCTGTATGTATTTTTTTTAATCTGATTACCAAGACAGCTACCAAGTGACTAAGGGTGGGCAGCAACCTGGGCACAGGGATGATTTGAGACTAGGCTGGGATGGAGCAGGAAGGACCAAGATGGCTGAATAATTTAAAACTCATGAATTGTTTGAACACTTCTGGATTTTTTTATTTAATATCTTCAGACATTGGCAGACTATAAGTAACAAAAACTGCAAAAAGCAAAACTGAGAAATAAAGAAGAACTACTATAAAATTAGTTCTGAAATATAAAAATTATAAATAATAAAATTCAGCAAAATCATTTTTTATTTCTAAAATTTCTTATTACTCATCTGAAAATAAATGGACATCAATAATTATATAGATAATTCAGTTAAATAACTCACATAAAAATAAAAAAGACTTTGGCCATGTTAATCAAATTCACTAGAAGATTTAACAAAAATATATTTAGCTGTGTCTGTACATAGTTTTTTAGAGAAAAAGAAAAGCTTGTTTTCTTCTCTGTGTTATCAGTAAATATAAGGAATTCTCTATATATGCAAGTAAATCTGTAAAAGGAAAAAATGTACTTTGCCTAAAATAATATTCTTGGAAAAATTATTCAAATAGAAAAGAAAATTTACAAAAAAGAAAAATAACATTTTTAAAAACAGTGACATATGAAAACAAGGACAAAGAAAGGGACAGATATGAACCTCAGGGGTAAAAAAGAGTAGAAACAAGAAAATGAGAGAAAGAGACTTATTTTATGGTAATACTGCTTATTTTAAAGAAGTGTAAGGCCAGGCACAGTGGTTCATGCCTGTAATTCTGGTACTTTGGGAGGTCAAGAGATGGATTGCTTGCGCACAGGAGTTTGCAATCAGCCTAGGAAACAGGAAGACCTCGTTTCTCCAAAAAAATCAGCCAGTCATGGTGGCGTGCGCCTGCAGTCCCGGTCATTCGGGAGGCTGAGGTGGAGGGATCAACTAAACTCAGGAAGTCAAGGCTGCGGTAAGCCATGATTACATTATTGTACTTCAGCCTTGCTGGCAGAGAAGGAAGGAAGGGGGGAGGGGGAGAAATCTAAAACCAAAACTTAAAACTATTTAAAACTAATCAGTAAAAATTAATTCAGAAACATGTATAATTACCTAAGGGTCTTATCATGACAATCAAAAATGTAAGGTATAAAAAGGCAAGAGAAAGACCGGGCTCAGTGGCTCACACCTGTAATCCCAACACTTCAGGAGGCCAAGACAGGAGGACTATTTGAGTCTAGGAGTTCGAACCCAGCCTAGGCAACATAGCAAGACCTTGTCTCCACAAAATACTTTTAAAAAATTAGCCTGGCATGGTGGCACACACCTATATTCCCAGTTAGTCAAAAGGTTGAGGTGAAAAGATTGCCTAAGCCCAGAAGGTCGAGTCTATGGTGAGCCCGATCATGCCACTGCACTCCAGCCTGAGTGACAGAGTGAGACCACAATGCAAAAAAAATTAAAAATTTTAAAAATATAAATTAGTGTTCTAGATATACTAGTCAATGACATTAGACAAGATAAAGAAATGTACAGTATAAATTGTTGATTAGAATCAACACATATTTTATATGTGTAACACACTACATTTTTACAATAAATTAAGCAAAAAAATGTTATCAAGAAAATCATAAGGAAGAGAAAATATATCTACTATGTAGTAAATGAAAGTGGATCATCATAAAGGTCTTCATCTTGGTCATCTTCATGGTAAGTAGGCTGAAGGGGAAGAAGACACAGACCAGTGCATTTCAAACCCATGTTGTTCAGAGGTCAACTGTATGCTACAAATATAGCTCACAAAATACTACCTTTAATGTATTACAGTCAATATGAGTCAAGAATTAGTTTAATGGGAAAATACAGGTACTCTTTAACATAAAAACTTCTGAACCTTACTCCTTGTAAGAAAAATGAATTAAACCTACAATAAGATACCATTTTTAATTTATAAGATGAGTAAGAAATATCTCAAGATTTTGATAATTCTGACAGCAATGTCTTTAAAAGGCTGTGAGAAAACAGACACTCCAAAACATTGTTATTAGGAGTGTAAATCCATACAACTCAATGAAAAAAAACATACGTATTTGTCCAAATTTTAAATATATGTACAATTTTTTTCTTTTGTTAAATAACACAAATATGAAATCTGAATAAGGTCTGTAGACTAGACAACAGTACTGGCCCAATTTTAATTTCCTGATATTGGTGAATGCACTAAGATTATATAAAATGTCCTTGATTATAAGGAATACTGCAGCATATTTAGAGTTAAAAGGCATTTTATCTGCAAGCCGCTCTCAGAAAATTCAGTGGGGAAAAAAACATGTAAATAGAGAAAGCAAATGTAGTAAAATGTTAACATTTGAGAGAATCTAGATGAATGGTATATGGGAATTCTTTGTATTGTTTTGAAACATCTCTATTAAGACCAAAATTATTTTAAAATTAAAATCTTGGCCACCTGCAATGGCTCATGCCTATAATCCCAGCACTTTGGGAGGCCAGGGTGAGAGAACTGCCTGAGCCCAGTGGGTTCAAGACTAGCCTAGGCAACTTGGCGAGACCTCATCTCTACAATAAAATTTTAAAAATTAGCCAGGCATGGTGGTGCATGCCTGTGGTTCAAGCTACTTGGAAGGCTGAGGCAGAAGGATCCCCTGAGCCCAGAAGGTCGAGGCTCTGGTGGCCATGAGCACGCCACTGCACTCCAGCCTAGGTGACAGAGTGAGTCTCCAATTCAAAAAAAAGTCTTAAAACAATCTTTATAGTATTTATGCTTTGAAACATTTGACGCTTCTAGAATGACCCTCTACAAATTTACATGTGTGAAATGACACGGATGCAGGTATCCCCCACAGCATCATTCATGACAGCAAAAGCTTGCAAATAACCTAAATGTCCACTGGTTTAATCAACAGCAGATTGGTTATGATACATCCACAAAATGGAACACTATTCAGACATTTTGAAAAATAAAATATCAGGTGGAAAAAAGCAACCTGAAAAATAACATACACATATGCTTTTAGTAGGAAGCCCTCCCTCCTAGAAAACCATCATATAAATGCCTGGTTTGTTTAAAAGACACTGAAGACATGAGTGATGCGTTTCTTTGGGGAGGGGTGGCAGAGGATCCTCCACTATACATCGCTGTGTATCTTTTGAATTTTGAGGCAGATTAAGTTTTACCTGTTTAAAAGAGTAACTTAGGCTGGGCACAGTGGCTCACGTCTGCAACTGCACTACTTTGGGAGGCCAAGGAAGGAGAATCACTTGAGCCCAGAAATTGGAGCCCAGTCTAGGCAATACAGCGTGACTTGGGCATAGTGATGCATGCCTGCAGTCCCAGCCAGTTGGGAGGCTGAGGTAGGAGGACTGCTTGAGCTGAGGAAGTTGATCTTGCCACTGCGCTCCAGCCTGGGTGACTGTAAGATTGACTCAAAAAAAAAAGTAACTTTAAAAGTATGTATTTATTAAGCACTTACTGTGTGCCAAGCACTATGCTACATGCTGTACATAGATCCTCTCATTCATTCCTCTTCCATTTATCCAATCATTAGCCCCATTTTACAGATGAGAAAGCTAACATTTTAAAGGTTAACTGACCTGTCCAAGGTCAGATGGACTGAGGTCCCTATAATCCCAGAGCCCAAGTACAGTTTTCCCAAATGGTGTGCTCTCCTGGTGTTACTTTGGGAAAAGCATTACTATATGCCAGGTACCATGCCTGCCATCAAAGGGAACATACACCACATTCCCTGCCCTTGAAAGACCGCATTCTGGAGGACTGCACAGCAACATAACCAAATGAGTGTGGCAGAGCACTGGAGGTGCCAAGATAGGTATGTGTGTCAGTACATACCAGGTGTGCAGAGACAACACTGATTCCTCCTAGGAGAGGAGAATGCTCAGAAACCACTGCAGAAATAGGTGGTTGTCACCACGTCCAGCTTATTTTTGTAGACATA